AAAATATACAAAGCTCCAGCCGTCTGACGAGGGTTAATCACCGGTCGACCATAGTGTACATCCAGTGGAAGAAATACAGCGAGGACGTAAATTAAAGCATTAAACAACGACACTGATCGATACACCGACAATTTCAACTAAACGTAACATCTCACCTTACCACCCCGCTACATTTCTTCCGCCGACTATACCCATGGAATAGTACTTCTCAAATAACGACTATACTCTTCACAAGCGTCCCAAGATCGTCTAACGAGTGACAACTAAAATGAACGTTAACGAACGCGAAGGATGATGAATTAATTAGTGTAACGAGAAGGAAAGCGACGGTGAGAAAAATAATTGCGTCGCGTCGGCGACCTTCCAACTTTTTCAATCGCGTATTCAATTCCCCAGCCTCTCTCTCTCAAGTAGGTTCATAAAACTTACCGGAAATCAGAATGCTAAACGGACCGAGAAGGACTAACCTAAACGCCCCAAACCAGCCCAGGAATTTCGCCGCGGTGGCTTTAAAAAGATAAGAGGACAGAGGATCATCGAAACGACGAAATCCGGATCCCGTCGGTCGTTCCTACTACGCGTAACTTCGAAACGGAAGTCGCGTCGTCGAAGATTCCCCGTGCGAGGGTAGAAAAGCGCGAAAGCCACGCGTCTAAGCGCGCCTCTCGAAGCCCGGACGACAGGATCGATCGGCTTTTCGTTCTTATTCGTTAGAATGGCTTCTGCTCTCTCTCTCTCTCTCTCTCTTCCACCTTCCTCTCTCTATATAGAGAGATAGTAATAAGAATCTTCCATAGACGGTTTTGGGATCGTAACAGTGAGTAAGAAGATTTAGGAGGCAAAGGTGGGCTCGATCGTTTGCCGTATAAACGTTTTTCGAATATATATACCGTTGGAAGAAGAGGAAAACGGTGGACGGGCCAATAACAATATACTTCCGCCTTTATCAACGCTATTTGTCTTCGAATTGAAAAGCCAGAATGAATTCAGAAAGGGCGGGCCACCTCCTAAACTCTCCTCTCTCTTCGTACCGGATCTGAACGACGCGGAACGATCTCTCTCTTTTCTGGTCGGCGTCGGGACCGCTCGATTTACGAGCAAACCGTACAGGAGACGTCGTCGGATTTATCTTCCGGTTCACGCGGCCTCCGTGGCCTGGCCTGGCCGCGGATTAAACAGGCTAAATAAAGCATTCGCGTATCGCTGAGAATACCGTTAAGGGAAATTCATTTTTCACGCAAGCACGCGCCTCCCCCTATATCGCGCGTACGTGAGAAAAATTTCGTATATCCGTTCTTGAAAGCGTCCGTTTTCCCCATCCCCTGCTACCACACCGTCCCTCCTCTCCCTCTCTCTCTCTCTGTATCTCTGCTTCAGTGCCAACGGGAAAACGCAATCCGTCTTGGGGACACTTTACCTCGCGAAACATCCCGTATAAAATGGTTTTCGACCGACACGGCGGTCCCTCGCTCGGATCAATTCTACCCGGGGCGAGAAATTTTATTTTAATCACCGCCGCGAGAGAGAGAGAGACTGTACAGTGGACTGGTAGATCGATATATGGGGGATACGGGATTTTTCGAATGGCACGTTCGAGAGAGTGGAAAAAAAAAAGTATTGGACGATGGAGCACGGGAGGTTCATCGAGGAGGTCATGGTGGATAATTGAGTTGGATCATTGAGGTGAAGAGTCTGCGGGTGGTGATGTTGGAATGATTTGTTTGCTTTTCATTAGCGTATATCAAAGAACGAGTTTCGAGGAATGAATCGGGGTAAAAGAATTTTCTTCATGTTGATTTATCTTATTCTCTCTCTGTGTGTGTGTTAGAGGGTTAAAATTGGGTGAAATTCTTTCTGCTCGGTTTTTCGTCGCGGAATTTTTTTACTCGCGGTTACACGACACCCTTTAAGAGAACAGGAAAAGTTTATTTATACATTCATATATATGCATGAGGAAAGAAAATGGCGCGTGGTTCTTAGTGGTGTCGTTGCGCGCGTGATACATAGGCACCCTTGCATCGACGTTAAAAATGAACGAATATCGCCGTTCTCCGTACCCTACGATATATGAATTCTCTTCTTCTTCGTTTTGTAGCTTTGAAATCTGCATAAATTACGACGTGTACGATAAATGTTTCCCTTTAATTCTTCCCGGAGTAATTTAATTCGGTAGAACGTGTTTCAAATTCTACCGGTTAATTAATTTCAATACGCACCAGCTCGGTATTCCCCACCTTAGCCAGGGCAAAATTCAATCATCGTTGCAATTTTCTCCACGCGACTTTTTCCGCGTCAGTTTTAATCCCCTAAACCGCCCCCGTTTTCATTCAAGGAAAATACGATGAATTTCAATATTTCGATGCTGCCGGTGCAAAAGGTGGCTGCCAGCCCCTTAACTATAATCCTCGAAGCATCCTGTGCATCCATTTGCGAATTAAAATAGGTCACCGCCTGCGCAACGATCACCCGTACAAGCTAAACACATCCCGTAAAACGTCGGTGTTGAGGACGAAAAAAAAGGAAGACACGAGAAAGAAGAGAGAAACCGCGATGAAAAGAAAAAAGAGCCGCGCGTGTGTGTTCTATAATTTCACAGGTATTCATGAACGCGTCCGTAACGATTACGCTTTTACAATACGATGACAATCCTGCGGCTGTGGCGTCTCGTTGAAAAATATTCCAGGCGTTTCGACGTTGGATCGAAGAAAAGGAAGAAAGAAGGAAAAAAATAGGAAAAATCTCTCCCGACGAAAAATCGCGCTTGAAGTAGCGGGATCTCCTCTCTCTCTCCCTCTCTTTTCCTCTGTTGCGTCGAATGAAGCCGACGCGGCTGCTTCAAAGGAAAAAACAGGTGCCCTGCACTTTTAATTAATACATCCAGGCTTGCGCGCTCGCTGTGACGTCTTCTTCATTTTCCGTGCGTGATATTTTCATGGTAAACGGGTCACACGGATACGAGCAGTTCACGCGAATCACCTTTTGCGATAAGGCGATTAGAAACGGGCAGCTCTGAGGCGTGTGTACGTGTGTGTGTACAGAAGGCTCTCCTTTCCATAACCGTGTCACTGGTTTATTGAGCATACACGGACGCCTCTCGCCTCAGCGATCCATCCGCGGAACACGCGCGCGTTTCAGCCAATATTTCGACGTCCCTCGTGGAAAAAGAAAACTCTAAACCGCTCCCAGGGTTGCAATGAGCCTCGTTCCGCGCGATTTATAAAAACGACATTCAGCCGGAAAAAGCACGGCCAACGGATTGCGGCGAGTAGAATAATAACAACGATGTCTGTCACGTGCGAAACGGTGAATTGAAACGTGTAGAAGAACCATGTTTCTCGTTAAATTGATTTCATTACTTCACGGATTCTCCGGTTTTTCAAACTTTCGACCGTTCTTCATCTCGTCAGAAACGCAAGAAGGACAAACCGTGTACCTGCGTTGTCGAATAATTCGTGACTTCGAATTTAACCCTCGTACGTTCCTCAGAAGTAGTTACGCAAGAGATTTCACCCATTGTCGATCTATATTTTGCTTAACGTTATTGTCTTTTACACTACGTTCCATCGAAACGCACACACACTCGGTTACAACACACTCAGAAAGAAATGAAACGTAGTGCCTACAGCATCTGGAAAGAGGCTACGGGTGAATTTTCCGAGCGTACGAGGGTTAAGGGTGAAAGAAGCGGAACAATTTCTCGGTGAAATTTGGTAGGAGAAGCTAGAAGAGGAGAAGGAAATTAGGCGTATAATTCTAGAGGAGAAAGGATTTCACGCGATATTCGAGATAGAACAAGCACAAGAGCGAAGAGAGAGTGTTGAGAATAAGACGGAGGTGGGAGAGTGGTTTATCAAAAGACAGCGTTAAATCTGGAAGTGTGATGAGAAGGGATTGATAGGAGTAATTGTGCGAATGAACGGATCTCCCGGGACGTTTTTCAGAGCGTAAGAAAATGTTGGCGTAAGTTAAGTAAGGTTGGTAAGAAGCGAGGGAGAAGAAGAGGGGACTCGCGATTAAATATCACGCGAACAATTAAGTTCCGGCCCGGGAAATTAAAGAGCAAAAAGATCTGGGGCTGGGTAGATCGTTGGCCTGGCAAGGAGCCGTTTAAATTCCAGAACGCTCGCCCCATCCACGGGACTCGTAAGGGACTCTAATCGTCGCGGATCTTGTTCCCCGGCTAATTGAAAACCAGCCGCGGACTGGATAAACATTTATTTGCCGACCTCTGACCGCTCCGTTCGATAAATTAAGGCAATCTTTAGCCTCTGCTGCGTTCTATTAACACCATTTCATCCGCAGAATTGCCGGATCATCTATCCTTATCTTCGTTCGTCAGAGGAAAAAATTACAGTTCGTTGCGAGTTTACAGTTTCACGGCGGAAGCGAGAATAAATGTAAAAAATTAATTAAAACGAGAAAATGCGAATTGTAGTTATTATGAAAATGTAACAGTTATTATAAAAAGTTGGTAATAATTTGTAGCCGCGTTTTACTTATTTTTTGTTACACTATTCCATTATTACCAGCCAATTTTTTTACAGTAATTCTTACATTTTTCAAAATTTATAATTCTCACGCTTGCTTTCCACACCGATTCTTTCTTCCCCGATCAAAGTACGAGAAACGAATCGATCAAAATTACTCTCCCGAAGGGAAACTCAGATTATAGTGTGTTAAACGGACGAACGTTAGAAGTGAATCTTCCTCGATTCCACCGGAACCATTTCGTTCCCCGCTCGTTGGAAACGTGGAACTATTAAACCGGTAAAATATTAACCGAAATACGACGACGAGTGAAAACGGTCGCCGTGCATCGCCAGGCAGTTTCAATATTTCGCGGCATAAACGTCTCACGATCCTTATGCCGCCGTAAATTACCAGTGGATCATTTAAACGTGATTTCACCCTCCGTCCTGATAAAATTCCCGCCACGCTTCTAATTCAAACGTATCGATTCTATTTAACTGAAGAGCTGTTGCCTACGTGTGCTGTTCCAGATGAGACGGAAATCCGAGATCGCGGCCCTTTACTTCCTGTTGCTGTCGATCGCCTCTACGTACGTCGCTTCTGTCGCTGGTTACAAGGTGAGTACAGCGAAGCCTTTGTGTCACGTAACGTTCTGCATATCTTGTTTTAACATAATTACCGTGGACCTCGTGAAGTGAACGCGAGTGCATAGTTCGGTAAGGTGGAAATGGAATGTGATCACGGAGAAAATCGGGGGAAACCTGATTCTACTTAGTCCCACGGACAGATTTATGGATCTGTGTGCATCCCTTGAAATTCTTTCTCCCCCCATCGAGTTTCCTTTTTACTCATACGCGAACCACCGAGTTATCGACGTTGGAGAACGCAGCCAGATAAGATGGAGAAGATGGCCAAGGGATTGCGAAGGGAATACACTTTGCGATCTTTTTTTTCTTCTTTTTTAATTCGAGGAACAACGAGATCTACGGTGATTTCTGGTTTCTCCTGTTGTACCGCGAGCAGCATTTTCGATTAAAGGTATTATTTGCAGGTAGATAACTCACAGGGTGGTGTACATTTGTGTGAGTGAATTGAGAGATACAAGGTGGTGCTTGATACAAGATTTATCTAATAACATAATTGAGGTGTCTAAATGGAATTGCGTGTGTTGATGGAATGCGTGATGCGGATAGTTTGTCGGGTAGTTGAATAGTGTAGCGTCTCTATAGTGTCTGAGTCGGTTGAATTCTTCTATTTTTCAAAAACGAAAAGAATGATTTGTCTCTGTCGCACCTAAGGCTTAACTTCTTAACCCTCGTGCTTGTGTCTCTATGTGCATTTTCTTTAATTGTTTTCTCTCACTCTTCGTATCGCGCTGTCCTTTGTACTCTATCCCAAAAATCCAAGTCACAGCACTATAAAATTTAGAAACTTATTTCCACGCGCCTAGAAAATATTTCAGAAAAAATGAAGTTGATCATTTTTGACTCGTCGAGATAAAAAAAACTGTGAGTCGCGGTGAAAGTTTACATCTGAGAAATATTTTTCCAAGAGTCTCCAGCAGAGTGAACCAATTTTCCACTTTCCTTCGGTTGCAACACTTCAATGTTACGTTGCAGTTGGTTCTTCGCGAGGAAGAAGAAATAATTTCTCGCGAAGAAAGACGGCGATATTTCTCCGGTGATCGGGACGATAAGCGAAGAAGTGTATTTAAAATGCACATGACACACGCACGCCTCCGGTCGACGCGGTCGATTACAATAGAGGTTTCACAAAGGGTAGGCAAAGAGTCGGTCGGAAACGTCGAAGCCACCCCCGGTGCATCGTTGTATTCCAACATTATTCGCCTGACAACCTCTCTTCCCAGCAAGAAATGGCATAACCGGTTTCTTCCATTGGATTCCACGGTACACTCTGACCCAGTTGCACCGCTACTAATAATCGATCAAACTCAAATACGATTTGCTAAAATAGCATGCATTTTCTATTAGTTATTCGGAACGTGACCCAGAAGTCGGGAATAAACGCCGACACGCGAGATGCGTGCCGGTTGTAATCGTTGCCAATTCGACATTATACATGAGACCACGTTTAAATTCGAATCGATTAAAAGTTCCCTCATTTTCAATTCGATTCTAACATCGAGCGACTGTTGGAAGTGTACTCGATTAACTATGGAGAATATTGTTTATACAGTCTCTTGGGCAACGGGAAAATTATACAGGGTATCTGGTTTAATAAAGAAAACAACGACTTTGTGTGATTTCAAATCGTTCATCTGGTGATAAAAAAGGGTCTCGAAGTTATCGCATATTAACATCCGTTAATGTTGGCCTACGAAATTATCGCCTAATTTTAACCCATTTGCATCATTTGAAACAAATGAAAGATAGGCCCTTGACACGAAATTTTAATACAGTAAATTCTCTACAAGTGTCAGTCAGTTTGGATTCTACAAGTGTCAGTATAGATGGTCCTACGTCTGGGCTGCGTCGTTGCTGCGCCTATGTTATCTCGCTCGCTGTCAGTCAAGCGTGTAAAGCTACACCAGTCGGGAAAACATAATTTCTTTAATTTTACTTTTTTTCATCTGGAATTTTTTTTATCATGTTGGTGAGATTTTTCTCATGAAAATGATATCAAACACGATATAATTTGAACAACATTTACTTATTCACTGTCACGCCAGATAGTGAACGTGTTAATAAGTAAATGTTGTTCAAATTATGTCGTGTTTTATGTCATTCTCATCAGAAAAATCTCATCAATATGTTAAGAAAAATTTCGGGATAAAAAAACGTAAAATTAAAAAAGTTGGTATTTAAATCGTTTGGTTGCCTCGACTCACGTTTCATCCTTATCTTTATTCGCTGTCCTTGTCTACGTTCGGCAAACTACAAAGGCGGGCGCGAGGCTCGAAAACGTAGTCCCTGACTCTACAAGTGTCAGGTTTAGCTTCCTTGCGGACTGACACTTGTGGAGAATTTACTGTAGCTACGAAAAGGAAATGGGTTACATAGTAAGCAAAAATAGACTTTGAAATGATCTTCAAAATGACTTGGAGGATATTATTTTTTTTTTTTAGTAATTTTTCCTTATTTTCGATACCACCGAAAATACTGCAAACGTTCGTTACGTTATTCGTCAAAGTATCTTCAATTTCTTCTTCAACAATCGTTCAGAATCCACAGCAGAACCGAATTTCTTTCGCGTTCCCTCGATCCTCCACGGAATTCATCCAGCGTTACAGTCCTCCCTATTCGGGTTTCCCCGGTTCAGAGACGGAACGCAGGGGAATCACAGGTTGGACATCTGACATGCCGTCATCGCTGCTCTCGAGTGCGTGTGCTGGCCATTCCGCTAATGTTGACCAGGAGTGTTTGTTCTGATGCATGTGCAGGCAGTAGTACCGCTGGACACCACTTGTCCTACGGATCGTGTAACGCTGTGTAGTCCAACATAATTGTCGGCGTGCCAGAATTTACCCGGCGAATAGGTGGCTGGATCGGTGCCGGGCATTTCTGTCCCCGGTGCGTCCTCCTCCTACATGCGAGGATAATTCGCCGCGCTGCCTGAAGCGGATTTGATTGCGCGACGCCCATGATAAATGTAAATGCAAACAATGTCTGACAAGCGGACATTCGAACGCTACGAACTGGCTAATTTCCATATATCTCCAATTTCTTCCGATTTCCAATCCGGAACCATCTTACCGCTACTCCTCCTCCTTATGGAAATTCGTCTTCGTTGTTCTTCCATACATCGTGTCAACCACACACAAGACACACACACACACACCGTGTTATCAATTAATCGCCGTCGTTATTCACTCGAACTTTCCACTCCACCGGTAAACACAAAGCGTCCCCAAGTGACGTTTAATTACCTCGCGGAAAATAATAGCACGGTGATTTCCGGGTATATGAACGTTGGCGAACTTACAAGCGCTAAATTTCACGACGAAGGGAAGAACATTCCGTTGTTGTCTAGCGAACTACTTTATAGAAGAGAGAGGGAGAGACGTTATCTCTTAACGAACGTCTCGAAACGTACATGTAGTAGAAGAACTTTTCTGTATATTTGCTCCAACTTCGGCCCACCTTCAGCGATTGTCTTCTTCAACGGTGAAGTTTCGATACTTAACACGTTCCTTGCCACTGGAAAATCGTTAGGGACGTGCCTTGTTCCGCTCAGACACGTGAAATTCACGGTGGCAATCGTCGATCACAGTGTTATCAATTCTTCGCTATATATCCACAATGATTCTACGTCGACGACGCTTCGACGTTGAGCGTGTTAAAAGAACGAAATCCGATTCCTCCGGTTTAGAGCGATATAAAGTCACGTCGCTTTTCGCGAGGAAACGTATCGGTGAAAAACTCCGTCCCGCTGCTGGCTGTAATCGATGGCATCGACATGACCCGGCAGCGTTAGTCGATAATCGAGAGTAACACGCGTTAATACGGCAGAGTCGAGGAACCAACGAAATCGCCGGGCGTAATTGGATCGGACGCGCGGCGTCGGAGGCGTCGCGTGATACGTGTGAACTGTAGTACTCGCTCTCTTAACGGCCTCGACTCGAATTCGCGATTTCTCCCCCCCCTCTTGCCGAAACGAATTGGCTGTTTGCGTAGCCGGTGATCGATTTAATAAAACGCGCCGGTGGGTGGAGAAGAAAAGAAGAAGAAAAGTGTAGTCGCGAAATAAAACCGGTGGAGAAGTGTGCCCCCAACGGGAGAAAAAGACTGTCGGTTATCCGTCTGTGGAAATGGTCGCGGGTCAGAGCACCCGCAATTTAAGTGACAAATGAAACGAAAGGCACCGTCGATGAATCCGGCCGGAATTATAGAGGCTATTAGGTGTCATTAAGTTCGAGCAACGATCGTTTATTTCTGGATTGCAGTGTAAGGGAAGTGGTTCTCTTTTTTCACGCTAACTGTACAGCTAATTCTCAATTTATATGATCGATCGCTACCACGTTTAAATCGGGAGAAATAGTTTCGGTGTGAGATAATGGATACGGATGTATCGTAGAATAAATTGAAGAATTTACTTTTGTCAATGACACAATTAGAGGAAATTAATGTTTGTTAACGGTTCGCTCTGTATCCTCTTTATTTAATAATAGAAGGACAATCTTTTTCTTGTTACCCGGAACGTAGAATTCTACGGTATCGTTGCTAATGTTAATATCAACATTATTAAAAATGTAATTAAATAATGGTGGCTTGAGTGAAAACAGTCTGAATTTTTCCCCTTTTTCTGTGAGAACCTGTGCAATTAGAGCGTTAGATGTACAGGGTGTCCCAGTTTTTTCCGATCAAACTTCGTCAATACGTTCTATAAGCATAGGTAAGGCAAGAAGCGTTCTTATTTTGTATCATAACTGCGCATTCCTATTTCATACTTTGTGTTATAACTTTTTAACAAAGTCTCAAACGACCCATGTTCGTATAAAATTCTTTCCTCGCTCGTACTCGTAGAACACACCGACGAAGTTTGATCGATAAAAACTTAGGACACCCGGTATACGTGAAAAAGGGACAACAAGGTGTGTTTAGAAAATTCAGTTAGCCGCGAAAGGCAAACAGTTCGACGAGGGGGAACCACAGGGAGGAACGGGGCTCAGCTGCTCCAAGTTTAATGATTCTTAAGGACGAGTTCGCAGGCTATCTAAATTAATTCTTAAAGTTCCCGTGGCGCCGGTTTCAAAGAGTTGTTCTACTACCGGTACCAGTAATTTCAGTGGAGTAATTGAAAACACCCGTTCCGTGAATGAACAATTTTAGGCGACGCTAATGGAGATACGGAACCCAACGGTGTCCTCGTAAATTCGCCGATGAAATAACGCCGCTTTTCAGACGGCGGCTGGGAGGGAATGAATAGGGATCCTAAAGCTACTCATATTTTCCGATGTCGCTCTGATATTTCAGCTTCGTATATTAACCCTCGGTGAAGTTGCCCGGTATCCAACACGCGGGCACGCCGATCGCTTTGAGATCTCCCCGAACCAATTCCTGTTTTCTTTTCCTTTCTTTTCTTCAACGACGACCGTCCAACCTATATCCTATCGCATTCCACGGTATGAAAAATCGAACAGATAGAATAGCTTGATGTTCTCCCTCGGTTTCTTCGCCCTCCCCGTCTCTCCCTCGCTCTCCCTCGCTCTTTCTCTGATGTGTTTGTCCCACGGTATTGATACGTTATCATCTTTCATTCAAGGGGAGAATTTAACGTCAAACGCAGAGGGGGGTCACTCTTTATTTTTACTCGAAACAATCGCGGTTGAGGGGTAATATAGATCACCGAGGATGATCTTCGAAGAGGGAGAGAAGCTATTCACTTATTTGTTTTTTTTTTTCACTTTATTTGAAATCGTTTAGATATACGACGAAAGGAGGAAGGAAGAAATAAGAGAGAGAGAGAGAGAGAGGGGTTAAAAGAAGAAAAATCTTTTGGTACGAACAGATACGAAAGGTAATCTTCGTTCGCATCTTCCTTGGCGGGTTTTTTAAGGAGATTAATTTTCATAGTGGATGATGTTTCGCATCAACAACGCTCGAGCACAAAAGAAATTACTTGGTAACAAAGTTTGCTAATAACGGTTCGTTTCTTCTCTCTTTCTCTATCTTTCACCGGCGTGTTCGGCGTTTTAATAAGAATGGAAAGCAAAAGGAGAGACTCCGCGGACCGGTAGCCTGGAAACGTGAACGAAATTCCGCGTGACTGTTGAAAAGAAACGAAGGTTAGAGGTTTTGCGGCGACACGATATAACACGTATCTGTACATTCGCGTCCTCGACGATCGTCAGCCAACGAGGAGGAGTGGCCTGCTCTAATTTCCCTTAACGATGCACTTTTTTCTTCTTCTTCTTCTCTCTCCTTGGAAGTGACGATCGTGCCTAATCTGAACGGTCGATCGGTGGTGGCTTCCATCGATTCGCAACCCTTCTTCCCCTCCCCCTCTAGGTGTATTCCCCGCCGCGTCAGAACCGCGAGACACTTTCTTCACCCGTGGTGACCCTCTCGCGCCTTTAACCCAGTTTCCTCTCTATGCGGTTTCTTACGTATGCATTTTTCATTCGTTTCAGCACTCGAGGCGACATCGAGACTTCACAGTGGCCGAGAGCTACGATGCGTCATCGTCGAACGGTGACAGCCTCTCGATGACGATACCGCCACCGTCGATCGATCGATCCCCACTTCCTCAAGAGTCATACCTTCCTGAAAGTAAGTGACGATAGTTAAATCACCTCTCCTCTCTCAACCGTAAAAATCTCTGTATTCTCTTTCTCGCTCGCCGGAGAAATAAAAAGGGGAGAAGAGAAATGTTTCCTCGAAGAGCGGACACACGCGCGCCGTTCTAGACGGGTAAAGAAGAGATGCGTGTACAAAGTCGGAGGGATCGCTAAATTAACGCGAATCCCGTTCTCTTTCTCCTTTTCTCTTGGACACACGGGACGGAACGAAAATTGAAAGGGCAACAAACTGGCCAGCATCCCGGAAAAAATTAATGAACACGTTTACACGCGGCGTGCATTTGATCCACAGAGCCGTGTGGAAGGAATCAGAAAAAGGAGAGAGAGAAACGAAAATGGGGAAGAGGGAAAAAAAGAAGTCGGCCATTCCCGTGATCTGTACCGTGAACGCTTTATTTCCCTGGCCACGCGAATTTTCTAAAGCGAATTTCGCGTTTATTCTTTTCGCGCAATACAACCTTCCACTTCTACCCTCCCTCACCCGTTCCCCCTATGCACGCGAGTTAAACGTTTCTTAATTAAATCATTATTCCCGATGAATGTGTAATTTACGATGCACAATGGAGGCATTCGGAATCGCTGGGAGTTTCGCGGTTTCGTTTCCTCTCGGATCGACGGGTTCGTTGTAAAATGGGAGGAGACAGAGCGCACAGGAAGAAACGACGAAAACGATAGAAAGTCATCCGTTCTTACCATTTAAACCGGATGTCGTCCATTGTACAGATTCGAGGGAAAAAGAAGAGGTTTGTAAGTATTGTATCTTGAGAATAAAACACACTACGCCGGTGATAATCAGCGCAGCGACGATTTGAACAGCCACGGAGATCTTCGTGATTATATTTCGTTTTGTCTTTTATCTCCTTCGCGTTACTCCGATGTTTTAATTCCTGCCGAAACAATCCTCCGTCGTGTTCGTTTCTTTTTCACTCCTCTACCACCTTCTCTTCCTCTTCAAATGAAATTATACGCGGCGAGAATCACGTAGAGAACAAGAGCGAGGATTAATATTATCGCGACTGTGTAGAATATCGCGCACATCGCGCGGAATCAACTTTACCTTATTAACGTTATGCGGGGTAACTTGGTTACGTGCTCGACTCGCGTCCAACTTCTCTTCGCTGATAAATAAAAGTAACACATAGAAATGTATCGCGTATTGATTTTCTTTTTCTTCCTTTTCCTCCTGTTCCTTCTTTCTCTACCTTTAGCCGGTTATTACTTTGAAGGTAGGTATTGATAATTGGACATACACGTAGAACGACGACTACTGTCGCAATTATCACCGGTGTCGCCGATATTAAATATCAGAAAACGATCAAATATTACAACGTGCACACACACGAGGACGTGTGATCGTCGATATAATTACTACGACTCTGGTAAGCTGGCGAAATTCTCCGAAATCTGTGTGTATTGATTAACGTCGATCACCGCGCCCGTATTAATTACAACAAAACGTTTACATATATATATATATGTATATACCTGTGTGGCTGTACTCCCAGAGTGGCCTGTGGGATGGAAGAGAGGGAGTAGGAGGAGGACGGAATTTATCTGTCGCCGCTTAATCAAGAATTCAACGGTTCCCGCCCCTGATAAATGAATGTAACGCGTAAAATTCGCGGCGCTTCGTCCGGTTCTATGCTGCTGTAATTCTTTGTTTAATGCGCGTCCTCCTCCCTCCTCCGTCCCCCTTTCGTTCTGTCAGAGCCGTAACAAGAGGGCTCGAAACGGTAATGGACCAAGTCCCTCTTAATAAAATATTCGAGAGGCTCTTTGATGAATAAACGAACCCTGGAAACGAATGGCAAGTGAATTCTGCGACGAAGAACAGAAAAGAAAAAGAGAAGTGTGTATATATATATAGTATACTTTGTGGTTCGATGATTTGAATAATTTTCAACCCCGAAAAAAGTGCTCGTGGATTTGTGAATTTTCACCGCTTTTTTCTTCTTCCTTTTTAAAGACTCTTCGAAATCGTGTTCTCGTATGTACATATATCGCGGAGGAGCAAGTGGAGAGACGGTGTGTGTATTTACTATAGATCGAGTCAGGATAGGTTTCGTTGTTGCTCGAGGCCTTTGGCGAAATCGTGACGACCATTCCGTTCTGTTTTTCTCTCAGGTGGACAGACGATCGATCCGTGCACGGAGAAATATTGCGGGGTCGGCAAGGAATGCGAACTATCGCCGAACAACACCGCGGCACTCTGCGTCTGCATACGGAAATGCCCGCGAAGACATCGGCCGGTTTGCGCGAGCAACGGAAAGATCTACGCGAATCATTGCGAATTGCACCGAGCTGCCTGCCACGCTGGATCGTCCTTGACCAGGAGCAGGCTCATGCGATGTCTGCATCATGGTAAATGATTTTTTATAACAGAGTTACCATACGTTCTAACGAACTTTTATCGAGCCTCTATGTCCGGGGGTGTTTTAAACTTGTCGTAGAATTTTTTTCGGGGTGGAAATAGGGTGGTTTGTCCTTTGGATTGGGAGGCTACTCGGTTGGAATGCAGGAAAATTGGGGGATTTCTTAGAGGGTTGAATTGTTTTGTTAAGCGCTGTTCTGTATATGTATGTGTCGGTGATTATGAAAATGGCCTAATTTCGACATTTTTCGTTTCGAGATAGTTTCATTTCTTCCTTGTGTAATAGAATATTTTACAAAATACTTGTTTTTATAACGTGACTACAGTAAATTCTCCACAAGTGTCAGTCCGCAAGGAAGCTAAACCTGACAATTGTAGAGTCAGGGACCACGTTTTCGAGCCTCGCGCCCGCCTTTGTAGTTTGCCGAACGTAGACAAGGACAGCGAATAAAAGATAAGCATGAAACGTGTGTCCAGGCAACCAAGCGATTTAAATATCAACTTTTTTTTATTCCGAAATTTTTCTTAACATATTGATGAGATTTTTCTGACATCAAACACGACATAATTTGAACAACATTTACTTCTTAACACGTTCACAAATTATATCGTGTTTGATATCATTTTCATGAGAAAAATCTCACCAACATGTTAAAAAAAATTCCAGATGAAAAAAAGTAAAATTAAAGAAATTATGTTTTTCCGACTGGTGTAGCGTTACACACTTGACTGACTAGGCGTAGGACCATCTATACGGACACTTGTAGAATCCAAACTGTCTGACACTTGTGGAGAATTTACTGTATTTTCTATGAAAAGATCGACGCAGTAGAAAATAATTGATAAATTTTTGTCTTTTAATTTTTCTACATTTTTGACTTAGACAATTAATCATCATTAACGACAGAAACCTGAGAAAATCCTGAAATCTCAGTCAAAATCGCATGAAATACACCTTAACTCTGTTTCTACCCTAATTGAACACAACCTCGCTACATTTCTTCCACCGACTGTACTCTTCTTCTTGCTACGTTACTCTAGGAAGTCTCCCTAAAAAGTTAAAAAATATCCTAAAAATTTCCTTTCTTTTTCTCAAATTTTCAATTCTCTTCAATCTACAATTTCACGTGGCGTTTAAGCGGAAACGCGATGTAATTCTCGCCACGTTTTAATTCGCAACCGCATCTTTCTGGAACCTCCGCAGACATCGAGAATGCGCACGTTCGGAGGACCCTGCACGTGAACAGAACGTCGCCTAAAACTGGCAAGATCATCTCTTATCCACGATCCAGGAGCCGAAAGAAGGGCAGCTTGAGGGAAAACATGATACCGGAGAGGAACGATTCGGATTCGAAGGAGTGCACGAACCAGGAGTACGAAATAATGAAGGTAGAACGAGCGTAACGAAAGCGTAACACGATTCGCGGCGGTCCCGATCGAACTTTACGGATCGAGTGTAAACGTTTTCGTTCCTACTTCGCAGGATAATTTGCTTCTGTACAACCACGCGAGATTGATGTCGCAGGATAATCACAGCAAAGAGTATCTCGTCAGTATAATGTTCTCCCATTACGATCGGAACAACGACGGGAATTTAGAGCGGGAGGAATTGGAACAGGTAACATTTTAGTACTCGATTCGCTCAATGTTCACGCATAATCCGATAAACAACGATTCGTAGATCGCGGAGAACGAGGATCTAGAGGAGTTGTGCAAAGGATGCAATCTTGGACACATGATCAGCTACGACGATACGGACGGCGATGGGAAACTGAACGTGAACGAATTTTACATGGCTTTCAGTAAACTTTACAGTAAGTATCTCGTCTTCTGTGTAACCACGCTAGGATCAGCCGATGTGTTTGTTGACTCAAGTGGAAGTGAAAGTAGAAGAACTTTACGAGAAAGTTTTCCCTCGAACGTTCGACGACACGCTTCGCCTTTTACTTTTAATAATAAATCCAGTTTTGCGTGAACGCGTTCAGAATTCTCTCTAGGAAACACGATAGAGAACCGCGAATAATTCGAGTATATCTTTTAAACCAGCCGAATCTTTCGCAGGTGTATCCGTGGTATCACTCGACAAGTCTCTCGAGGTGAACCATATCTCGGCACGGGTCGGCGACAACGTCGAGATCAAATGTGACGTCACTGGTTCACCACCGCCGCCGTTAGTATGGCAACGAAACGAAGCTGATTTAGAAACGTTGAATGAGCCCGAGGTATATAAACGACATACTACACAATTTCCCCTCTTTTGTACCTGGATAATTACCGTAACTACAAGCCAACTTTCATACTTCAACGATAATCAACGTCGGCACACTTCCTTTGATAGATTCGAGTCTTCAACGACGGCAGCCTTTATCTGACGAAAGTGCAGCTCATTCACGCTGGCAATTACACTTGTCACGCTGTTAGAAATCACGACGTTGTACAGACCCATGTGCTGACCATTCACAGTAAGCTTTCCAAGTGGTAAAACACTCTCGTTGATGCGACAGCCATTTTAACCCTTTCGATACGAAGAGTCAAATGGAGATTTTATTCGACTTTTTTCAATTTTTTCACGTAACATCGATTGACAAATGTTCCCCCTGTCTCTGTAGCTATACCTGAGGTGAAGGTGACGCCACAATTCCAAGCGAAACGCTTGAAGGAAGAAGCGAGCGTGAGGTGTCACGTGGCCGGTGAACCACTTCCGCGTGTGCAATGGTTGAAAAATGACGAGGCATTGAATCACGATCAACCGGATAAGTACGATCTTATTGGAAACGGTACTAAATTGATCATCAAGAACGTCGATTACGCGGACACCGGTGCCTACATGTGTCAAGCGAGTAGTATCGGCGGTGTAACCAGGGACATCAGTAGTTTGGTAGTTCAAGAACAACCTACTCCGAGTAAGTCGCGAATCGTGTTCGTAGACTTCAGTATCTTTTTGAACAGGGAAAAAAAAATGAACGAAACGAAAACAGAGAAAGTAGTGTTTGTTTCTCTCGTTACGAGAAACACACAGATGTTTTAAATAAAAATAGGTCATTTATTAATTACATAGATAAATGAATGACAATCGTGTTTTATCCAGCGACCGAGAGCGAGGAGCGAAGATTCTTCTCGTTTCACGAATGGGGCATTTTGGTTTACGAACCGTCTGCTTGTCGGCCGCGACACGAAATTCGCTCCACGGATGTTATACCCGGCACTCAGGTATGATTAATGAACGTTATTAAACAGCTTGTCTATCTCACAGATAGTATTTAGGCTCTTACAATCAAGATTGATATTGTTCAACGCTTCCAAGTGTAATTTCAACGTTGTTTTACATCCTGTAGCCTCGAACAATAAATCCATAGTTTCGTGTGTGTTTTCTGTTTTTTTTTTTTTTCTCTTTTATTTATTACCACAAATCTCATGATTTAGGAATACGTGTGTGGAGCGAAAGGCGTCCCTTGTTCATGGGGACGCGCGATCAACGTCGCGAATCGGTACGTGTACGTCAGCCAACCGGACAAAGATCGCGTGCTGGTCATCAGCGAAATACAAATGGTTATAGTCGATGTGAGTGAAGTCTTGAATTTATCAATATGAAATTCGTTAAACGTAACTGTTAAAAGCAAGTATTCTACTAGGTAATACCGACGGATAAATATCCCGTTCAACTCTGGTACGTGCCATCCCTTGATCAGGTATGGATATTGAACTGGAGAAACGAAGAGGACATCGGTGTGAAAACGGTGCAGGTAATCGAGGATGCAGCTCAGAAGAAAAGGCATCGAGCCATTCGGCCAGAACCTATCGATGCACAATTCGATATAATTCAAAATATTTATATCCCTGAACCACAAGTAAGTTTCCTCGTTTGTTGAAAATTATCATATATTTCAAATGATATTCTCTCTATCGATCAGGATATCGACAATACGTTCAAATACGGGTACGTGAGTCACACGAATCAACGCAACATGTACAAACTAGATCTGAAGAACATGAAATACACACGGAGCGCTGATTTAAGCTCTTACAATTGTGTCCCAATAAACGTTCAATTTTCAGTTCTTTGTGAGTCATTTCTTTCGGTATAATATGTGAGAAATTGATAAATATCTGTCGTAAATTTGCAAGTGTCTTCCTTATATTGCTTTTCAGATGGATTCGTGATAATAGAATGCCAGGAACCGGTTGTCAACCGACCAGCAGGTCAATTAGTGTTGGATTATTTAACCGACACCGTTCTTGCACACAAACCGAATCTTTTAGGAAGACCAACTATCTCGCCTGATTCACGACATCTTGTTACTTTAGACAAACAAGAGACAGGCGTAACTTTAGTTGTACAAGAAATATCACGTAATTAGAGCCTGTATCTTTTTTTATAAAATTTATCAATATATATAAACAATTCAGTAATAAAAACATCTGTTTGTAGCCGATGGTTTGAAGTTCGCGTTCGACGTGAAAACGACGTTGAATATCAGCGACATTGCGCTCTACCCGTCGCAAACGACCCATGGCTACGATATCTACGCGTCATCGATCGATAAAGAAAACATTCTTTTCCTCGATCTAGCCACTGGTAAAATGAAAATTTACTAACGTGGTAATTTAATTCGACGATCAACATTTGAAATATGAATTTCTTATCATAGGTAAAGTGGAGATGATAACGGGAGTGGGTAAAGCAACACCGCCTAATTTAACAAAGTGGGGGAATCCAAACAGACCTATTGTACAAAGTGGTATATTTGGCAAATATATGGTCAGTCCTTCGAACGACGCACTGTTCGTTCTAAATGGAGAAACTCGAACGATAAATTGCGAGATCGGTGGCCTGGTACATCCTGGAGCAGTAGTATGGTTTACAGTGTCTTTACATTAAGCAATCGAAAATTTCGACAACGATAGGAGGCGTGTTTAGATAATTAAAAGTAGCCAAGCACAGAAGAAGAAAGAGTGATATGAAAGAAATATCATGTACATCACCATTTGAGACGAGAGGATAAAGTAATCGTAGTTTTTTTAGGTTAGAAGAAGAAACGGTTGGCGTATTTTTGACACCATCGAGCGAATAAACGTTTTTTGATCGTTACGATGCGAATATTTATCGCGAAACATTTATCAATAAGATTTTTAATGTACATACCAAGGATCGTCTTTTACATACATATTTAACGTACCTAATCGTTACCCTATCGGTGGCCTTAGTTTCCCTCGATTTTGCATATCCTCATCTTTGTACTTATACATTTCTCTTTTTCGAATAAATTTTCAATGGCTATAAAGATACAATTACACTCTTCCACGTAGCAATTAGAGTGTCTGTTATTTCTTACCCAATACGAACTGTAAATTATTAAAAATCAACATTACGGAACTCGATATACCTGAACAATTTAGAAATTTTATATTTTCGGTTTATTTGCAACGGAATATTTAAAGTTCTTTCTAAAACGATATCAAGAGTCAATAATATAGCCAAGCATTCGTCGATGACTTGTACAATGCTAGCTAATCAGTTAATTAGGAAACGAAAAGGTTATAAACTTACGCGAGCCGTATAAACACAAATATAATACAGTATAGTCACTTTCTAGCCGGTAAATTGTTTTGATCGAAAAATTCGGACAATTTGTTTCACGATAATTTTTACAATAACTTATACGGTAAAGACATATAGTACAGTTATCGGGCCACAAATAGCACACTAACAACGGGTATGATGATTATGTATTATAACGCATGCATGTGTCGTGTGTACGCGTGTGGATACGAGCGCATATAACAAGTAAAATGAATATCTTGTAATAAAATTACAACAAAACTAATTTAATAAATAATCTGCAAATACAACATTCTTTTTGTTACAATGTACATGCAGATTACAAACATCTTAGCAGTCTTGTATCCGTTCGGGTAAAAAGGAAATGATGATACAGTGAATGATTACACTCCGTCGTTAACGATCGTATTTTTAAGTGTCTTCTAGTCGTAACGTTCGCCTTTATTCACTAATAAATTACGTCTGTTCAAAATCTCGAAGTCTACGTTTAATCACCTACTGTACAAATTCGACGTACGTTTACGCACTATCTGGTATAAATACGCTTAGTTCTTTCCAAATTATTAACTGTACCACACACAATTGCTGTTTCCACGCTTAACGCCATTGACGATTTGGTAATTACACAATATCTTCCAACCGATTACACGATCACTCGTGAAACGCACGGCTTTACCGATAGTGATATTCGACAGTCAACGAATTTATAAGTGTATACCATGAGGTGTATACCAAAAAAGATACGGAGACAGACCAGGAGTGGATTACTAGGAAAAATAGATCGTGAGATTTGTGAGCAGTTTTCCATTCAGCATGATGTAGTTTCATCAACATATAAACGCAACACCTCGTAAACCTCTTTCTCGATTCCCCATATCCTATTCTCTTCCTCATTCTTTCTATGTCACTGACACTACCCATTCGCCAGTTTCTTTGTTCCAGCACTGGTTATATATTGCACGATTTTAAATTGGTCCCTTGCCGACTGTAAAAAAGTATGTAAGCGTTGCTAAAGTCTTCCTCCTGAGGTTTCTGTCTGCTTGTAATTTCATCATTGTAGTAATACCACATATCGGTGCGAGGATTTTTAGCGTATGCTGTGTAGTGCCCAGCTGATACCCCTGTAATATTATATGAAAAAGATAAAACATTGTATGACTCTCGATTATAATATAATTAAACCAAATTACAATATATAATACGTACCTCCAAAATGACAAACACAGGCATAAAGATCGTACAGGTGTTGACCCACGCTTAGACCGACCAAAGGGAATGTAACTTTATCGTCTAACTTCATACTAGTGCACTCGTAAAATACAAATCTGCAATTTCCGTTCAAATAAAAAATGCAATTGCTGCCTCTTTATGAACGTATTAATTAAAATTAAAATTAAAAATCAACATACCGTTTCAAGTACACTATGAGGAACTTGGGATATCTGTGAACCGTGAGTGTTTTCGTAGCGCACCGATTTCGTTCACACTTTGGACAAAACCAAGGATTGTGTTCGTCTAATGTTTCACTAAAAAGGCATTCAAATTTCAACGTTTCTTTGCAAATTATTTATAAAATTTTCAGCATAAGTAATAAAATATACCTCTGACTAAATGCCTGAAGACAGTCATATAAAGACAAAGGATGATGAGGCCTCTGTTTGCTAACACTGACATGATCAATTGGAGATGCAATCTTAGGAACATGCTCCGTGTAACGCACAGCTAAAGTATCGCCATTATACAAGATTACCATACCCGTTTCGGGTACGCTGCAACCTGTACAGTGTGTAGTATAGATGCAACGAGAACAATGGTGGCCCTATAAAAAATTCTCTTTACTTCTCAACTCATTTGATTTTGCTATGTATTTGTCTATTAATAGATTAATATAACAAACGGAAAATATAGTTGATAACAGTATTCTAACCTGTCCCGTAACAAAATGAAGCGTGTAATTTCCTTCCTGCGGTACATTCCGTCTCACAATGTCATGCAAGTCTTTAGCGTTTACTCTTGAAGGTAATCTTACTAAATGTGGATAACCAAAAAGCTTTGTTCCTTTACGATTGTTCGTCGTTTCATTCGTCGTATCATGCCGTAGAACCAATGGTACATTTAAGATTCTAACCGCAGGCCTCGGTCTGCCTGTTTGATCTATTTTAACAAAAGACGACGCTGTTATGTAGGTTGAACACATTGGACACATTTGCGGTTCCGTTTGATTCTTGAAGTAATTCTGTTAAATTAAATGTACAATAGTAATTCGTATATCCATTGTAACATGTAATATGAGAATGTGTGCCAAAAGTAATTTCAATTTTTTCGTAATACATCATTATTATTAAAAAATAAAATGAAAAGCACAGATATACATATAGTACCCTCAGTATACGGCAGCCTCAGATTAGTCTGAATTGAGTTCCAGAACAACTTTTCTGGCTTGCGGATTGTACTCAAATAGCGAATCATACGGGTTTCCATCTTTTCGTTCCCAAACGCCTCTACTTCAAACGAAGTTTCCTGGACTAATTGATAACGTAAAGCTATTTCTGGTTCCCGTACGTACCCTTATGATACCGTCCGGCTAGAACGTTTGCTGATTTAATCTCAGACCTTCCCGGGGTAAAATAGTGGTAACTATATACCTTGCTTGTATACCCCTCCCGCTAGATTAAAGCTGCCGTTTTCATCATTGGGTTTTTATATTGTACCGATTAAGATTATACGTATATAATGTCAACAATAATATAAAATATTAAAAAGTTTAATCGAAAGATTTTAATCGCTTAAAAATTTCATTCAAAAATGTAAAAATAAAGCTACAAAACAAAGAGACTTACCTCAATGCAAATATCACACATAACGAAGTTGCAGCTATTCCCCCTGTGCCTCTTCAAATCTCCGTCCAATTCCTCGAGACAAATTGTACATGGAATTTCCTCTGCCGTAACCGTACACTTTTGACAGGAATCAGCCTCGGATACACGATCTCCACCACCATCTGGCATTGAAGTATACGCATCAGGAGGTTCCATGAGTTCAAAGGCGTATATAGATCGATTCGTATCATTGATGTGTCTCAAAAGTGTATTGTCATCCTTAAATGTAAAACCTTGATGTACAATCCAACAGTGACATTTCCCTCTAGTGCGATAAGCTACAGCAAGCAAAATACATAATTCTCGATACCTACGGTGCAAGGGTAAAATAATATAGTCGAAGAGTGATGGCCACGATGGGCTAATAACAAGAGAATGAATAATAAAAGCCAAATCAAACACAGAAAAGTACAGGAATGAAGAATTGAATTTGTGTGATGGAATGTAGCCTCGTAACTACGCTTTGCGCTACGAGAGTGTTCTTCCACAACATTTACTCTCGGAGGACAGTATCAACGATTATCGAGACTACTCGGTAAGCCGCCTTCTTTATCCTCCATGATTTATCTTGTATCAAAATTAAAACCCACGCACCGTTTTACATGAGATAAAATAAACTGAATTTTACTTCCTACCGAAAATAAACAACTTACAACTTCCTTAAAAGAATATTATATTTGAAATAGTATTGAGAAATTTAACGAATAAATTGAAAATAATATAGGACGGCAGTGAGTTGACCAACTGAATACAAATTTCTTGAAATGTATGTACATGCTGTATTTAAATAAGGAAAACTGCATTGAAAAGAGGATTATCAGTTTTATATCGTTATACGTTTTATACCAGCTTACCAGAATCTTCGATATATGGTTTTCTAAAACTTCAGCAAGTGCAATGTTCGCTACAGCAATGTTTTCTTTGCCAAGTGTTTTTAATAGCTCTTCCTTCAACTTTCCAATGCGTGACTGTTTGTTTAATGAAACAACACACCTTATGGGTTGATCACCATTTGCAGGAACATATGTAACATTTAGTTGCCTTTCCATTGCATGAGGTAGCGGCACTGATAAATACATAAAAGGCTCGTACGTAACAGAAACATGATTACATACTGCACAAACAACCTACAAAACATAAATATATAAATTATCCCAGACTTGTGTATTTACATTCGAATTAAATAGTTTAAATATTATTATGTATCAGTAATATGAGTCTTGCTTTCCAGGCTTTTCAAAGCAAAAAGGAATAAATACTGAATTTTAATATAGGAAACTCTTTACGGTAAATATCAATTACCGGAGTTAGTTACCTCAACGTATAGTCTCCATAATACATAAAATATTATATATGACATAGTTAAATTTACCTTGCTTTTAAACTGTCCCTGGAAAGTATCGACGATAATACTTCTATTAGACTTTAAGTGCTTTGCCCAATGTTTGTCAGCCTCCATCTCATCTTGTGCCTCTATAGCACCATTACCATAACTTTGTGAAACTCGTGCGCATTGAGAACTAATGCTTCCCTGGCCATCACGCTTGTGATTCTTCTCTTGATCATCAAGCCTCATACGTTTTACATTACACTTTTCTAAACCATTATCGTACTCTATATCAGAACCGCTTGATGCATAGTCTATACCGCAATTGACTTTTTGTACGTTGACTTCTTTTATTCTTTTAACACTGACACTTTTATTGTCGAAATCATGATTTTCCATAAGGTTTGAATTATCTAGAGGCATTCTACGAACATTTTCTTTCGGAAACTTTTGGGAATCATAGTGAATCTCGTTGTTACATTCTTGTTGTGTTACTAAGAAGTTTGCATTGCTAGTTTTCGCTTGTTTATGAATATCATAAAGACCATGATACTTTGGAACATTTTTTGACAGTTCAATTAGTGTGTCTAGCCTTAATGAAGGCGTAACTTCATTTTCCTTTAGATCGACCTTATTGTGAATAAAGGTATTGGATTTTGCTTCAACAGTTTCATCAGAATCGAGTGTTTCTTCATCATCATCACCATCGTTCAGAGGCGATCCTCGTGGTGAATTCGCAATACTATCTAATTCACCTATTGGTGAACCTAAATCTACAAAACAAAAATTGTTACCATTTTTATAATATATTATTTTAATTTATCATAGATCTGTAATAAATATTATTACCTCTTGGTGAACCTGCCATTGTAACATTAGGACTGTTTGGACATTCTGGTGATGGTATACAATCATACATTTCCAACAAATCTGTATTACAATTTGAATTACCAGTGGCAGTAACTGGAGACATGGCTTTTCCATTTGAATTCTCAACTGGATTAATCGAGTTGGCAGTGGTTGTAGATGATGGAGTTTGACAATTTTTTGTACACTTTGCTGTATTCATTTGCTCATGCAAAGAATCCAACAAAAGCGCGAGAAATTCTTGACAATCATGCTATAAAATATCATTTTTATTAATTATTTAAGCTTTTTATGAATAATTAGGTAAATTATAAAAGCAGCCAAAATTTACCTGTCTATAATCTTTAAATTGTGAATGATATGTCCCTAAAGTTTGCTTGAATTCAGTAGGCCTAAGGACACTGTATTTACCAGACCACATTTTGCCAAGGAGTGCACTAAAATGCGCCATTAATGATCCAGGTGGAGGTAGTTTCTCCCCCCTTTGCTGTAAATCCAAAAAATGTCGCAGGACGGGTGGTGTTGCGGTTAAACATTGCAAACCAGCAGCCATAAAGCAAGTATTACCAAGATTACGAAGACCACATACTCCAGCACGTAAAATTACATCCTCTGCAATCAAATTCCAAACAAAATATTGCTTACTCAATAAAATTAGTAAAGCAATAAAACCATTAAATTTTTATACACAAATAAATTGGTATTTGTACTCACCCATTGGTGAATCATCTTGAGAATCTCCACCTTCTGAAAACAAATTATTTAAAGCTGGAGTCCCAGGAGGTAAAAATGGACCATGCTCTATACCAGGTCCATTATCACCAATAGGATCTGCACCAACATCTGTGAAATCATTTAAACCAGGTGGTGGTGGAAGTGGAATGGCATAATCTGATGTAGAACTATTTGCTTCAGTCCTACAATATTGAAAGAAATTTATCCTCTTGAAGAGTTAAAGTATGATCTAAAGAAGATGTCAGTGGACTAAGGCCAGTAGAATCTAACACCTCTGATATCTCTGCAACTTCAGGCAGATAAAAAATTTCAGACGATCCGATCATTGAAATATTTTCTACTTCTGAGACATCCACCTTATTGTCCATTCAGATAATAAAATACCAAATATACACAACACTGACACATTTAAAAATACTGTATCTCTAAAAAATTGCAATATTCTATTAAAAAAAACATATTTGCTAAAAACAGAATGATTTCATAAGATACATTTGGTGCTTTGTTTTCTCTTTACTTTTTTTTAAGACAACATACATTATTTAAGTGTGTTTCATTTGCTGTAAAATTAACAATCAAAAAGTATATACTGACGTAAATATAATTTCAAATTAAAATTCTGAAAATTCTATTTAAAATGCATAAAGTCATCAAACAATACTTAAATCATCCTAACCTAAGATGTCGGGAACGATTACCGCGAATTCTTTGGCGTCCTATTCTTGTAGGGCGGTAAACTCCTCGAGGAATAATTATTATCGGTAACTGAATTTTTTCGCTTTTTAGAAGTAAGATTATGTTATATTGGCTAGCACACTGATCAATATGGAAGAAACTGAATTCTGTAGTCTATAAAAGTACAACTAGACCTTGCCCACTCAAATCGTAATCATCCTGTAATTTCGTAATAGCACAAATTTGACATAAGTGTTCACTTAAAAACACACTATTTTGTATTTAATACAGGTATATAAAAAAAAAACAAAAACAATAATCACTTACTTTGCAGAAAATCCACTTTCTTCTTCATAAAATATCTATACCGCCATTGCAGTAAACGGCATGGTCAATGGATGCGCTAGAAAAGGAAGATTCGCCTACAGCGCTTCAGGAAGTCGGTATATTTTTCAATTTGCAATATGTGGCTACTTCCTGCTTTCTAGGGAAATTTCACTTTCGCGCCTAAAATTGTGGGAAATTAACTTCATTGTACTTTGCATTTGACAAAAGTTTTCTTTTGTATAGAAAAACATTGATTGCATGAAAAGTTAAAATTACTATGTAATTCCCCCAATTTAAAAAAAATTATATTTATAAGCAAGCAAGTACGATACATAAAATGTTAAAAAAGTTTCACATAAAATTTTCCCAACAAAAGAATCAAAAGGAAATATTTTAATTATATCTTACTACTTAAAATGAAGAAGATGATCCAGTCTACTTAAAATAAAATACTCAATTTGGTGAAAAGTTCTCGTATCTTTCTCATCCCATGAAAACACTCCAATATGTACGCATTTTCATTATATCAAAAATACGTATGCATATATACATACATATGCTCACCCATACGCATATAAAAGTTACACTACAAAGAATATTTACTACTGATTTCTTTGACACACTCGAACGACACAAATTTAATCATGTCTAACGTCAATTACGATACTTTGACATTCTTATTCGTTCAGTGATAAATTAAACCATTTAGTATAAATTATTTAGTCATAGTATTGAGATACGTTTTAAAAAGATGCAATAGTTTATGTGAAAAAAATGCAACGATAATTCATTTTTAGTACAAATAGTATAAGATAACGCTCTGTGCAAGAGGAAAATATTTTATAACGAGGAATTATCAAATTAAAATATAATTATTTGATCCAATTTTATGAAAACTATATTGCTGTTAGTATTAATGTTATTTTATTATTAATACAAAAAAGAATATACATTATTTTCAATTACTACTGTTATTGGATGTAATAATAAACAAGTATCTTAATAACAATTATAACAGTATTTTATAATACAATATCTGCCATGTATCATATAATATAACATGTTAATTGATATTTTATACTTTACAGTGGTTGTATGTCACATAAAAACCTTGCATTAAGTGTTGTGTAGGATATATGATATTTTATCAACAAATATGTCATCAACAGAACAATCAATGATTGTGCAATCAAAATTTGTCTCAGGAGAGACTGTAATAATTGTATCCTTTTAGTAAAAAGTAATATAATTGTTTTCTTTATTTTTAAAATGTATATGTATGATATCATGTACCTATGAAACCTTAATTATACCTAAAGGCGATGGAAGCATCATTGATACAGGGTTGGGTTAAAGCTGCACGAATTGTAGCACTTCTTAACAAGGGAACTACTCATGCATTGGTCATTTTAATTACTTCAAGAACACCTCCTCAAGTTTACAGTGATCTTACCATAGAAAGAGTATTGCCTATTGATCAAGATTTTAAATGCAATATAAGTATGTAATTTTTTCTAATTGTTTATGTATTATGTATACAATAAACAATTATATACAATTACAATTCCTTATAAGTTTGATATTATGATAATTTTATATATTATTTAATAAATGTCATTCATTAGATACAGATGAAAGACAACAAGATGGTTTAGATGTATATCTCAATGTCATATCAAGAAAATTACATTTAATATTTGAAATGAGGCCTGGAGTAGTAACTAGTTCCTTAGTATCTGAAATATTTAGAGCTATAGAAGGTAAACATTTATTATTAGTTGGTTAATTGTAACTCAATTAGTTAATATGTGCATTTTTTAATAATTTCAGTGTATCAAAAAACAAAAAGTTCAGCATCAGAATTTTTATGGGTTCAAAAATTAACAGGCAGTACACGTAACTTAACTACCAACACCAATGAAGAAATGCAAGATAATACTGATCCTGTTGGTATAATATATATTGTAATAATTACATGTTTTTTTACAACTAATAATAATAGAAGTTGGAAAATGTTTTTGTAGCTAGTAGATTTGGAAAGTCCAATGTTAGTTGTAACAAGACGCAGCATTGCCTCTGGTAAATCACCAGTAGCTGCCAGGGAATCTGCAGTAAAATACCAAATGGCTTGCAAAGAGGATGATTATACATACAGCAAAACTTTTCGGTTTGTTTTTCTTTTGTGTTAATTAATTACATACAGTTTTCCTATTTTTCATTGTCTGTAATTAATTTATTATAGTATATTTATTGGCACATGGAATGTAAATGGCCAACCACCAAATGGTATTGAATTATTTGAATGGTTGTGCTATGATAAGACACCCCCTGATGTATATGCAATTGGATTTCAAGAATTAGACCTAACTAAAGAAGCATTTCTTCGCAATGACACTCCAAGAGAAGAGGAATGGAGGTATTGAATTTATAGCAGAATATTTTTCATTTGTAATTATTCATAAATATTATTAAACAATATTTCAGTATCATTATTGTTATTATTATGTTATGTTTATAGAAAAGTTGTGGCAAAATCTCTTCACCCAGATGGTGTGTATGAACAAGTAGCTATTGTAAGATTAGTGGGTATGATGTTGCTTATATATGCATTAAATAGTCATATACCATACATAAAAGATGTATCAGTTGATACAGTAGGTACTGGCATCATGGGTAAAATGGTAATATTTTTAGTGTTTAATAGTGGCTAATAATCTTAAAACTCAATATGTAATACATTGCAACAAATTTAATCTTACCAGGGTAACAAAGGAGGAGTAGCAGTAAGCTGCTCTATTCATAATACATCTATTTGTTTTGTTAATGCCCACCTAGCAGCACATTGTGAAGAATATGAAAGGCGAAATCAAGATTATGCAGATATATGTACGCGATTATCTTTCTCAAAATATGTTCTACCTAAAAGTTTTAAAGATCACGAGTAAGTACCCCATTTAAATGTTTCAGAACATTTTTTAGTACAATCGTCTTTAAAAAACTAAATTTTAAATATAGCCAGATCTATTGGTTAGGGGATCTAAATTATCGAATAACAGAAATGGACGTTGTCACTGCTAAACAATATATTGATGCGAGAGACTACGCTCCTATCTTAGCTTTAGATCAATTAGGTCAACAACGACGATTAGGCCGTGTCTTACAAGGATTTCATGAAGCAGAAATTAAATTTAAACCAACATATAAATATGATCCAGGCACTGATAATTGGGATTCGAGGTTTGTCAATTACATTAGGAATTTTTATATTGACATTTAGATATGTTTGATTATATAAATGTATGAATTACAGTGAGAAGGGCAGAGCACCAGCATGGTGTGATCGTGTATTATGGAAAGGTGAAGCTATTACATCAATTGATTACAGAAGTCATCCTGAATTAAAAATTTCTGATCATAAACCAGTTAGCGCACTTTTTGATTCTCAGGTAAATATAAATACTTCAATTTAATAGCTTAATGATTATATAATACTGAATTTTATATTGCATCCTGTGATAATCTACAGATCAGAATTATAGATATGGCAAAGTATCGTAAAATTCATGAAGAAGTTATGAAAAAGCTTGATAAATTAGAAAACGAATTCCTACCACAAGTAATGGTTGACACAACAGATATCATATTTGATACTTTAAAATTTCTCGAACCTAGTAGTAAAGAACTTATTATTGCCAACACTGGCCAGGTAAACAAATTTTCAAAAAATGTATATATGTGTTATGTGTGTAATAATTATACTGTCCATAGGTACCAGTTCAATTTGAGTTTATAAAAAAATTAGGTGAAACTAGTTACTGTAAAGATTGGTTGGACATAGAACCGTTTAAAGGTTTCATCAAACCAGGTACGATTGTTTTTTCTTTCTCGTAAAGTGGGTCAACTATTTTATAATATATTTCAGGAGAGAAGTGTGATACTAGGTTCGAAATATATGTTGACAAAAGATCAGCTTGCAAATTAAATTCCGGAGATGATAAGTTGTACGATATTTTAATTTTACATCTTGAAGGGGGAAAGGATATATTCATAACCGTTACTGGTAGAAATATTATATTTTAACATTACATTGCGTTTAGACAACAGGAAAAACTAGATTACATATTTTTTCAGGTACTTATGAAAGAAGTTGTTTTGGATCTTCAATGGAAGCTTTGGTTCACATTCCAGTACCAATAAGAGAAATTCCTATCGGCAGATTAATGGAACTCGTAAGCATATTACATAAGTTGCATAGAAGAATAAGATTAAAACGTTATGTTTAAATCAATATCATTTAATTTCATCATATCATAGGAAAATAATAAAAATCTTTCTCAAGAACCATATGCTATACCTAAAGAGGTATGGTTATTAGTTGATAGATTGTATCGACATGGTATAAAAACAACGGGACTTTTCGAAACACCGGGACTTCACAGTGAAATTATAGCCATAAGAGATTGGTTGGACAATTGGAGTCAAGATCCAATGCGTATCCTAATATACATGTTAAACTTACAACCTTAAAAATAATTGTAGCTAATTTTGATTCCTTAACTTCTAAAAAGCTGGTAGCGTATATTCAGTTGCAGAAGCATTACTCTTACTTTTAGAATCCACAGCTGAACCTTTAATTCCGTACAACCTGCACAGTGTGTGCTTATCTGCAGCAACAAATTACTTACAGTGCAAACAAGTATATAAATCTATGTCTTTTGTCAAAAATAATATTATATGACTTTTAATACTGTTTTATTTTTTTTAGATTGTAATGCAACTTCCAGAAATAAGGAGAACAGTTTTTGTTTATATATGTTATTTTTTACAAGAATTACTAAATCATACTCAAGACAATGAATTGGATGCTAAAACACTTGGTAAGGTTTTCCTTAGTTTGATTATTTAATATGATAGTTACTAATCTTATTCATTATTCATTTTATAGCAACATTATTTGGATCTATTTTCTTAAGGGATCCACCAAGAAGTAAAGGTGATAGAAAGATGAGAAGTCGTACTCAAATTGTTCAGGCAACAATTGACAAAAAAAAAGCTGCATTTGTATATCACTTTTTAGTGAATGATCAAAGCGATTTTATTCTTGGTCGATAGTAGTATTTAAAGCTTAAAAAGAAATATTTATAAAATGCGATTTAGCTGAAACAAGCTTCGAAACAAACAGATGTTTCAATTGTTTTATTTAGCTAGGAATAATTTAATTAGCAACATGTTAAATAAATATTTTGCAACATTAATATTTCTGTAATAGTACTTAACAATTGTGCGAACAAAATTTTTGTAACGAAATAATGCACGTAAGTAACTTGCCATTTCAAAAACGTATTTTGAATAAACACATTGTGTGCTACGATGAAAAACTCGTAATTAGATGATAAGTAAGAAATCCAAGTTACAATTCCATCTAGTCTTTGTAGCATACCATGACTACGTATGTATTGTATAAATTTATTTATAATAAGAAACTGTTATTTGACTTATTTTAAGTTAGTCTTACATTAATTTATAATCACTATTAAATGTTTAAAAGTGTAACTAATAATGTATAAAGGATAACTTGAAAACTCGCTCTTGTTCAACACTTATATCTGTAATATACTATAATATACAAAATTGCTGGAAACTACCACTACCAAGACATGTTAACTTTTGTATCAAAATTTTATTAAAAAATACATACAAAATGTGATAAGTAATGTGGCTTACAGTATTTTATTTTTAGCCATATAATGGAACAAATTATGATAGTTACATATAAAATAAAAAGAAAAACATAAAAACAACTGGTAAATCTGTGTAAGTAAATCGCGATCATATCTGAAATTAAACTGTTTTAGTAAATGTTATAAATTTGAAAGGAATACAAAACACACATGATTTTAAAAATAATTGTTGTACAGTCACAAAACACAATTCATAGAGAAAAATATTCTTAAAATAACATGTCAAGAATGAAAAATAGGACTGCAAACAAATGGCAACTTTAAAGCTATCTATAAAAAGGAACATTAAATGGAAGTTATTGTTGTCATGGAACATACAAAATATCGAGAATGAATTACGAAAAAGAAAAAAATTCGTCTTTAATATTTGTTTGTAACGACGAAAAATGCAAGTCTATTTACAAAATGAATTGAAACACACTTTAGTATATTAAATGACATAAAACTGATTAAGGAATTTTAAAAGTTGAAACCCTTTTGTGTTGCCTCAGTTGGTTTAAATTCTAACTGAGCATCACCTGCCGTAGGTGTCAATGTAGATTCCTCGGCATCCTGTAAATAAATTTTATATATGACATTCAAATATCATTATTATTAGTTAAATATCAAATTTTTATAAATGTTCTTACCGCTTCCGAGAAGAAGTTATCTATCATTGCAATAGCTTTTTGATATACTTGTTCTACTTCATGATTCTGAAGAACTTCCAATTTGTCCAAACCTCCAACTTCTTCTATCATAATAGCAACCCGTACAACTTCTCCCATTTTTTCTGCTGCATTTAAAATATTAGTTAAACCATCAAGAACAACGACCACTGTTTTCCAATCCTTAGCTTCCAGCAGATTGCAAAATGGTGGCAACACTCCCGACTGTATTAATAAGGCTAAATGCTGTACTGATCCACCTGAAGTTAAATTTGTTATTGCCCATGCTGCCTCTTTTTGAGATTTGAAATCTCCCTACAAAGCACAATACACAATTATTTTGTATTGAACAATCGTATTGTTAATAATTAAATACTTAAATAAAAGTTGCATTTTACTTACAGATTCTAAAATATGTATCAAAGGCGGTATTAATCCAGCATTTATAACATGTTGAATTTGTTCCATGTTACCAGCAGTAATATTACTGATAGCCCACGCTGCTTCTTTAACGATATTAACGCGATGATGTTGCAGTAATAATCCTAAGTGTTGTAAACCACCTGCTGATATTATTGCATCTGTCTGAGTATCATTGCCTGTAACTATGTTTCCAACTGCGCGGAGTGCTGGTGTTAAAACTGATGCTTCGGGTGAAGCAAGTAGTTCTACAAGTTTTGCAATAACTCCAGATTCAACGACCGCTTGTATTTTATCGTTAGAACCATCAGTAAGATATGAAAGAGCCCAACAAGCATCAGCTGTAATGAGAAATTTGTTTATAGCAGATATTTTTAAAAATTTGTTAAAATTTCGTATACTCATGACACACTATGTCTCATATAATTATGCTCAATTTACCAAGTATATCTTTGTCACTATTACTGAGCAAACGGTTTAACACTGGAAGAGCAGTTCGTACAATTTGAAATGAAGGTGGTGGATTTTTATTACGACACAAATTTGATAGTGTCCATACGATATTGCGAGTAAAAGTTACCTGCAACAATAATAAATCACAATAGTAATATTACATCTATGCTTAGATAAACATTTACATTGTACATACAGAAGTATCAGGTTTAATTAACTCCAATAAAATTGGCATAGCTGCATGTCCAAGAACCAGATCACGTGCCACTGGACCATCTCCAGCAATATTTCCAAGTGCCCATACTGATTGTTCAGCAACATTAGCTGATGCAGATTTAAGCAATGCAACCAATTTTGGTATAGCACCATGTTGAACAACAACATGAGTTTGCTCTGATGTACCAGATGCTACATTGGTAAGAGCCCATGCTGCTTCAAACTGCAGTAAATCACTACAAATATTTGAAGCAAATAATAAATAATTTATAAAGGGAATAAAATTAAATTTAAAAAAAATATATGTATATGTATATACTTGTGGTGATAATCCAAAAATTTAACACATAATGGAACAATTCCACGTTTTATCATAGTATCTATGGGAGGATTCTTTTCCCTGCTTAACATTTTTCTACATGCTTGTGTTGCTTGAAGTTGAATTGTTTCATCTGAAGATTGCATTCCATTGACAATTTCTTCTATGGATGTAGAAATGGGTGAAATATTACTTTCTTCTATAGGACTTGGAAGTTCTTTGCCTACATTCAAATTACGCCGCTTTAATAACTGTTCATCTTTTCTAGCTTTACGCAATTCTATAGATATTTCATTCCTCTTCCTTCGTGCTTCCTGTGACAATAAAGTATACATTATGTACAAAGCAATAACACAAAAGTATATTTTTAAATACCATGACATATTTTTTATTGCATATATTATGCAGAATATAACAAATTTTTATATTTCATACATTTTATACATATAACTTACCTCTTGTTTATAATTGTATTTAAAGTTAGCCTTGCGATTGTGACAATCAGCTTCTGGTGCAGGCATTTTTGTAGTTTAAACAAACTGAATGCAAATCTTTCTCTGCAAAAATATAATGAAAATTGCTAAAATACACAATTACGAAATAAATTTAGTTGGTTATAATAGTTTTGGCTAATTGTGTAATGTATGGAGCAAAAAAAATAAAAAGGTGTTCTTTCTTCAAATTAATTAAGATTGTGATTATAAAGTAATTGAATTTAATAATCATAATCATAGTAAAAAGAGTATAGTTATTAGTAATAATACGATTATGTAAATTGAAATAATTCTGTATGGTATTATCTAAAATAAACATGATATTACATTGCAAATCATAATTAAATAGTACGTTATTTCAAACCTGCGTTCCCTAACGGTTATTTATTATTTTTTCGTAACATTTTTCTGTGTCACATGAATCTTATCTGTAGTACAATTTAAAATACATATTATAATTAAAAAATGTCATTTACTGTACATACCTTAATAAATATGAGTAGAATAAAGAGAATAGAACTTGAATTATCGAACACTTTGTGAACTGATCGCGACCCGCACGTCAATCTACAATGGCTGGTGAAGAAGTTCCTTTGTACTTAGAACCTGTTGCTGAATATCAGAGGACGAAAAAGAAATTATTGTTTATCTTCATCCAATTAGAACTTCCAGCTGTGTACAACGTAATGGCACATTGAATTATGATTGGTAGTTGCACTTATGACGATATGTGATTGGTTATTTAATATGTAACGTCTAATTTTTAAATCAAAATGGGGAATCCGAATATCATTTATCTTTAAAAACTTCATGTTAACCTATAATATTAATATAGAATGATTTATTTAAACTTTATTACTTTTACGTTTACCGAAAGGTCTTTTAAAAATAACAATCATAAAGTTAACATTAGACAAACCAATGAATTTATTTATTGGTTTAAAGTCATTTTATGTCTTGTAGTATTTAGGTATACGAAAAAACATTATTTGAAAAATTAAATATTTCTTTTAGTATAATTTTAATGTTAATTATATTCAAGTTTTTTATAATTTTCCAAACTCCTGTGCTATCAATAATTTATTGGAGCAGGATTAAAAACATGCAGGTAGGAAAATAATTAGGTAACAGATGGAAATTCATATCACAGACAATAAATAATTTACTATCTATTTAATGTACAAAATTATTGATACTGTATAAAGATCATATAATAAACATTATAAAAAACAAGATTACAAGAATATTATATTTTATGTAAACTGAGTAAATCCATGTACTTGCAATAATATTATAAAATATTACAATAGTGTGTATATATATGTATATATATATTCACAAACATTTTTATCATATTGTCAATGAGGTATACATGTATCTTAATTGTTAGGATTTTTATTTGGTAAATGTTATATTCTGTTTTAAGTCGGTTTCATAGTTCTTGTGCAACATGGAATAATAATGTAGAAATTTCAACATGTTTATTAAGTGCAATATTGTACTGCATCTTTTGCAGCCTTTTTCATGTAATACATGATTCCACAGTTATTTTTGCAACACTACGTGCATAGGGAATGTAAGACAAAGAATACCATGTCATTGCCAATGACTGCATAATTATAAACAAAAGAGCCAATCCAGGGTTCTTCAGCTGAAAATATACATGTTAATTGAAAAACATTGTGCTATTGAAACTGTATTAATGTATATTGTAGATTTCATTATATTGTACTCACATGTAAAGCCGCAAATAATGTCATTGCAATAGCAACAAATACTAACACAGTTGCAATTATTCTTGTTGCTGCAAACATCTTCTTAAGTTGATTGAATGGACCCATTAAAAAACATGTGCTATGAATAAAATAAAAAAATGTTTTGCACTCAACAAAATTATAAATTATAGTTGCACTTAACTATGAATTTGATCTATAAGTATTATTGGGTAAATCATTACACATTGATTTATGCTAAAATAATTTTTATACAACAAATCTTATTGCAATTTGTTGATAAATTTAAAATTGTTTGATATCATATTTTTAGCAAGCAAAGAAATTTGTAAAGAAAATGTAAGTTGATATAAATGATGAAATAAAGTTCTAAAATGTTTTATTGCAATATATTATTCTACCTTGCTAATGAGATGATATTCCCTAGAGTATAGAATACAGCAAATACTGTAAGTCCTCTATGTAAAAATAAAGCAAAGGATCCAAGGAAGGAGAAAAGAATGCCAATAATAAAACAAATAGCAAAACCTTTCATTCGAGTAGAACAACTTAATGTAGTTTGGTCCATAACCTAAAAACAAAATTTCATGTAATTTATTTTAAATCCCAATGAAAACATTGCAAATAAATATGATTATTGAAAAATATATAAATTTTACATTTTTTTAAATTTACAAGCTTACCACAAAGTCCACACCAGTCTACCATTAAAAATTGTATGCATTTGAAACAATAATTTCATACAAATAAAGTCAAATTACATATATACTATAAAAGTAATATTATTAAAAATTGTACAATATTAATCGACATTTGTTACCTGACCAACAATTCTACTTTCTTCATCCTGTTCATTTCCACTTAGAGCTCTTCTTAGTTTATACATTCTTTACTTCAAGCTAATTGACTATTATTTTTGAAAAATAATACTTTTATCTGGAATACTGTTCTAAATTAACACAATATCCTTTCATGCAAATATAAATGGTCCACCTCCCATAAATATGTGTTTCATTTCAATATCCAAGGTTGATAATTACACCATGAATTGTATTAATATTTAAAATTAAAAGAACAAAATTTGTAATAAAACGAAAAATGTCAGAAAATTTCCTTCGTAGATAAGTAATACGCTACACGAAACAGCTGTTCTTTATGTGTTCCATAATACAATGAAAATACCTTATATTACAAAAACTTGTTATATCTTGAACATAAACGCGTGAAGATATGTAAGATATCTTGTAAGACATTCAGTGTTGCAACGTAACAAAATTTTTTTAACTTTGCAAAACTGAAACTATTAAACTACACACTAATCAGCTTATAATGATAAGCGTCATGTCAATATTTGGTTAGGTGTACTAATTATTGTTTGATCCGAATAAAGCACATCGTAAATTACATTCAAGATTTTTGTAATAAATTATCTTAACGCACAAACACTCAATGTAGTATTAGGTTATGCTAAAAGTGTCTTGTTTTCTTACTAGACATTAAGCATGCCAAAACTTAATGAACAATACAATTTATTGAAATATACAAGCTATTGTATCTATATTGTCGACACTTAGAGAATTTTGGAATGTCTGAGAAGTAGTTGACTAATACTACTTATTGTAGACAAAAATTAAGACAATTCAACCTGTACAAAATGTGACACTTTTATTCACACAATACTAAAAAAAAAAAACCGATTGAGCTACAAACTGTCTACTCGTTGCTTAACAAAGCCTAACGCGTAAATTACAAAAAGAACTTTTAAGAAACATATATTATACATATGATATAGGAGTGTATTGAGAAATAGGGATGCTTCTTATGAATGTAAAGATGAAATTTCATTAATATAATCTGCTGCATCCTTCTCTCCAATTTCTTTTAACACAGCTTGCATATCAATGATAGATAAAGATGCCTGCACCTAAATAATTTTTAATACATTTTTTATTATATAACATTTTAATGATGTAGTATTAAGAAAATATAGAACTTACATCTATGTAATTTAAGAGGAGCATAGATGGACCTGATGGACTATTTTGGAATGCTTTCAACAAGTATTCAAGATTTAAATATCTTGCAAGTTTTTTCCATCCTTGTGTTTTGTTTAAAATGACAGATAATTTTTCTTTGTGTTCATTAGTTAACCAATTTGTTTGTAAATTTTCATCTTTGAGTTCCACTTTAGTAGTAATTGAACATGTATCACTTGTGGCTTCTTCAGTTTGACCATTAAAAAGCTGTAAAATCTTTACAAAAATAATTTTTTATGTAATTATTATGTACACATAATTACTTTACCTTTAAATTAATATTTATACTAGCTTATTGTATTTAAGTTTATCGATAGAAGTAATCATGTAATGTATACACGTATGTATAAAATGATAATTACATCTGGTTTATTCATAGCTAAATCAAACGACGATTGTCCAATAGCTTCTTCAACATTTTCATCTTCTGAATCCACTTCTACTTTGACATTAATGTGTGATTCCTTCGTTTTCTCCACCTATTGAATATATCAAGTAAAATATGTTAGATATGTGAAAAATCTGAAATCGAGTAGTAAAATATTTGTATAAAAACAGTAACAGACTTCATTTGCATCTCGATTATGGTTCTGAATGTGTGGATCTGCACCATATTGTATTAATAATGCACACAATTCTTTTGCTCTTATTCCAGATTGTACAACTGCAGTGTGCAAAGCAGTATTTCCACTAAAGTTTCTTTTATTCACAGCTATATTTGTCTGTAATCATTGAAGTATCGTATAGTGACGATAACTGCTAGATGCTTAATTACGTTAAAGGAATAAGTAACAAACCTTTTTAAGTAAATATTCGACAATATTCTTGTGTCCACCCTCAACAGCTATATGCAAAGCTGTTCGACCATAAGACATATCTGCACTATTCACGTTTGCTCCAGCTTGAACAAGTGAGCATACTGCATGATATGATCCTGCTTCTGCTGCAAGATGTAATGCTGTCCACCCAGCATCATTATATGCTTCAATGTTAATTGTTTTTACTGATAGTAACATGTCAACACAAACACCAGCATCAGAAACTAAAATATACATATACATATTCAGTTTTAATTACACTATAATCTAATTCTGTAATAATTTAACTTACTTCTTACTGCAGCGTGTAACGGAGAATATCCTTGCTCATCTGTTCGATTGGGATCTGCACCAAGCATAAGTAATGCTTTTGTAATTTCTGGTTGATTTTGTAAAACAGCATAATGCAATGGCGTCTAAATAAAATATTGTACCCATTAGAATGCATATACAAACCAAATACGTGTTCTAATTTATAAAAAAAAAAATTGAATCAAAATCTGTTTTAAAACAAATATAAAAAAATGCTCACTTTCCCAGAACTATTTTGGCTATTAACAATGGTCTTGCAATCTTTATTAGCACCTATTAACATTAAAAAATATTTGACAATATCGCGTTGGCCATAGCGAAGTGCTGCGTGTAATGGAGAATCCCCATAGGTCGACCGATCTTTGAATAACTTTACAATATGTTCTTTCATATTTTTTACATCCATTTTCATACACTGTATAATCTCAACAAGTATATTTCTAGCAAACATTGTTTCATCTTCAATCTAATGAAAATAATTCATGTTATTTATTATTTTAAGAATCTCTTTTATAAATGAGTAAATAGAAAATATATACTTGTTTATTTGATGGGCCATCAGAAGTTAGCATATTTTCTTCACTATTGCAAACATGTTTTAGAAATGCTATAAAAACATACACTTAGAAATACTTAAAAATAAATTTATTCTTCGAAAGATAAAAAGTTGTATACTTACACGCAACGTCCATGTTTGATAGAAAATTTTTACATTCTGGTAACATAATATTTTCAGACAATATTTTTTCTAACTCTCTGCTATCCCCACTTAAAACTTCTGATATATTCTCTGTACTATTGTAATTGCAAGTTTTATCTGGTACTATATATGATAATTCTGTACTTCCGGAGTACGATATTCGTTGACGTTTTTTGCCTATAAGTATGTTAATTTTGTTTTAAATTTGTTCTGAATTTATAAATAATTAAGGGTAGCCATAATATACCTATAATTCTATCACTTGGTTTGTAAGTAAACTTTATTGCTTCAGAACAATCTCCATCAGATGGTCGTTCTAATTGTATAAAAACCTCTTTTGCTGAAGTAATACTAAGATCTCTATATGCCGGAGTCCTATAGAAAACAACACAAAAATTATTATGTATTAATGTTAATTAAAATTTATTCACTTTAATTGTTAATGTACCGAAATACAATCGCATATTGATGATGCACATCCAATTCTGAAAAACGTCCATATTCACACCAGATTTCATGGTCATCTTCATTTAATTCAAAAAATTTGATCTTAATATTTTCTACAACATAAAAGTATTGAATTATTAAAATCTACATAAAATTATGATACTGCCTTTTATATTATTCAACATTAATCAATTTCTAGTAAATTTTAGAATATTATATTTAGTTATAAAAGTTAACATTTACTTTTTCCTACTTTCTCTACAAGTATGAATACTTCTTCTCCTCCTTCAACACTACTAGTGTGTTTATCAATTCTGCATATTTTAAGTTCCCCTGTCAATGCACTCTCTATTAAATTACAAACAGGTTTTCAATTATTATTTTCACTTAAAATATTTTTATATGTGTGCTGTCATTTCTTACTCACTGAGATTATTAATTGCATGAGAATAAACAGGTTCTGTTATTGGAGTCATAATATTATGTTCATCTCCAGCAAATGCTTGAAAGCATAATGCAACACTGTTCAAATTCACATATTTTTGATAATATTCAGCATCAGCTTTGATCTTGAAAATCAAGTGTTCATTTAAGTAAAAATGCTCATCTAATTAAGCTTACATTATATTGTAATAATTAATATAAAAACTAAAATTACATACTTGTGCTTCTTCTCTGGCACTAAGAGTTGGTCCTATATTATTCTTCTTACTTCTTTCCAAAGCTTCCCTTCTCATCTTTCTTATAAGTTCATCTCTAACATACTTTTTTGCAGTATGTATAATTCCCATTCCATGAAATCTAAGTATTACATTATAATATTAATAATGTTTAATAAAAACTAACAATAGAATAATAAATATTATTAGTAATTTGAATTCAGTTAAATTTAATGTTATAAGGTTGACAAATAAGTATAACATACCTTGCAATATATCCAATTTCAGGAGATACCAAGACATCATATGGATCATCATTATCAATACCACCATCTCTATGCACTAATCTATGAGCATGAGGAATTCTTTGACTTTCATCAGATGTAACCAATGTACATCGTATTATAGCAGTTCCAGGAAAATTATGTAACTAAATAACATATTGGACTTATTTATTGGTAATTTAAATAATATGACAATATTTTAGTGCATCATTTTTACATATTATTATTTC